TGGAAGGCACATTGCCTCAACGCGGGAGTCTTGGAGCGTATACAGGGGGGTCGGGAATTATTTTTATTCTTTTATATTTGCAAAATTTGATGCAATAGAAAGCGATAGAAACTTGAATACTGTTTCTATTTAGATTCTTGGCACGGGAACTGATAAAATGAGATTTATTTAAACATCATTGTTAGAATTTAAAAAAGTAAAACAACTATGACATAGAGAGTAAGCAGATATCATATTAATTTTAAAAATCTCATAACTGTAAAATTACACACCCTGTACAAAAGGAATAACTGCCTATAAGAATTTATCATGTTCTTATAAATATACTTTTGTTATCGATATTTTGAGTGACCGTTATCGATAGACAAAAAAAATATATAAAAAGTATTATAGTAATTAAATAGAAAATATATCGTTATAAAATACAAGCACAGGATAAGCAACCAGATCTGGTTATACGAGTAAAACAGGTCCACAAGTTATAACACATCAAGAACTAAGTAATTACTTAAGTAATAATAACAATTTAACTTCACAACATATCTTCACATCATTATGTTTAATCAAAAGCTATATTTAATGTCATTTTCAAAATCGAATTATTAAAAAATAACGAATATCTAATTTATAAAATACTAGCTTACACCCCCGACTCCGTCCACATGAAATTAAAAGAAAAAGTGAGTAGCCTATGTGTTCTTCCAGACTAACCTCTACGTGTATGTCAAATTTCGTCAAGATCTGTTCAGCAGTTTAGGTTACAAACATCCATTCATCCACGTAAATTTTCACTTTTATTGTATTATTCAAATTAATTACTTTTTAGTATTCAAGGATATGTGACTAACGAAGTAATATGCCGAGACTCCTATAGCAACCCTTGAGATTAGTTACTTATAAACGAGGTTTAGGCTAAGCGTCTTGCGCTCGGCCATCTCAACCTTGGTGAATCTGTAAATGCCACTTCAATTCAAACAGTGGCCATCCAGTCACAAAAAAAGCAAAGCGTCATCTGCGCTCGGCCACCTCAAGCCCGGTGAATCTGTAAATGCC